GGGGGGGGGGGCTTTTCCTGTCGCCGCAGCTATTCCGAAGCGCCCGTTTCACCCCCACTCCCACCCCGCGCGCGCGCTTCAGTCCACAGTGTCCCGTTCTGCCTGCCTGCCTGCCTGCCTTAGTTTCTGGTTGTTTGGGAGCAGCTTCGGCTGAGAATAATAACTATTCGCCTCTTTTACTCAGCCGAAGCTGTTCCGATTCAACCATTAACGAAGGCAGGCAGGCAGGCAGAACGGAGCACTGCGGGCGGGCGGGCGGGCGGACGGGGTGGGGGAGAAACGGGCGCTTCAGGGAAGCTGCGGCGACAGGAAAAGCCCCCCCCCGCTTCTTTGAAGCAGTTTCTTCCTGTGCTGGTGGAGGAGCGAGAGAGCGACTAAGAGAGCTGACCCAGAGAGAAGGACAGGCTTCGGTTGCTTCCTCCCTCCCCTTCTTTTATTTGTGTCCTTGATCCCCGATCCCAGCAGCATTCACCGAAGGTGAAGAAAGCCGCCATTTTTTTAAAAAAAAAAATTCTTTGCGGCCCGGTAGAGAGTGCTCCACGGCCCGGTACCGGTCCGCGGCCCGGTGGTTGAGGACCCCTGAGGTAAATAATGCAAAATAATGCCCTCTGCTCGCACCGCCCGGCCTCCGCTCGCACCGCCCGGCCTCCGCTCGCACCGCCCGGCCTCCGCTGGCTTCTTAACATTATATCGGTGTATAACACGCATACATCATTTGCCCCCTATTTTCAGTGTTATACGCCGATAAATACGGTATATGCAGTTTGACAACAATCCAATTTTCCATGCAGTGTAATTAATCAAATAAGTTGAGTCAAAAGGCAATATAATGCCTGATTTTCTGTTCTGTTATTTCATTTCGTCAAAATATATCCTAGTGGAACAGTATCCCAAAATATGTACCCAACACTTCAATGAAAAATATATAAAAACTCAACCACTTACTTTTCACTTGCTTTTTTATACTCTTTGTGTTGTCCAACCAATGCTGAAAAAAGAAGAAGAATCGGATGAAAACTAAAAAAGATCGATGTAAGGAAAAATTATAAAAGGCATAAAAATGGGAAGATGCTAACTTATAAAGAAAATTATCACAGGGAGACACAAGCAAAATCATTTTTATTAGAATGGTTACCTTTAGACATAGCTGAGACTAATAAATGCTGTCAAAATATCTGAAGGGTATCAGTTAGGACACACTTATCTGGTTAATAGCGTACTGGTTGATATGTGAGACAGGAGAGGTTTCAGCTTTCATAATAGTGAAAATTGACAGTACCCTGATTGCCACTGTCTGATTTGTCTGACTTAAAGTGACACATACAGTTCTCTGCTACATATAGGCTCATTCTCATCTCTAAAACTATGCATACAAGTCACATAATGATAGCTTGTAGGTAGACTGATTATAGTTTCTTCTACAGTACATAGGCTATTACATCAATTACTAAGCATATACTGAATATAGGAGGTTCCTGTAATATAAATTATCCAAATGAACTGTTTCTAGGGAACTGTTTCTAGGGATGTGAAGAGCATTTTGAATTTGAAGCATTCTTATCAAGTTCGGAATAACCAATCTATTCAAAGTGGGAAACTTCAATTGTTTTGAACCTGTTTCAGTGTAAAAATGATTGAAGCAACCAGTTCTGTTTAGTTTACACCTGAAATAAGGCATTTCAGATTTGACAAGCTGAATCAGAAACGTTCTGTATACCATTGGTTTCGAGACTGCATCAGCTCAAATGCAGATTGAAAAATGTCTTCCAAATCTCATTTAGGTTTCTCACCCTAGCCTACCTCACAGGAGTGCTGTGAATATAAACTGAGATAAAAATGTGTATGTATGTATGTATGTATGTATGTATGTATGTATGTATGTATGTATGGTATTCAGCTTTGTTCGGATATTTTCCCACGTCATTGTAGTTGTAGTCAGGATGAGGAAAAAATCATTCTGGCGCAGCAGTAGGCTAGCACCAAATTTAAAACTGAAACGGATGTGAAAGCCTGACTCACAGACGAACACAATACACAAGCCTGATGATGGCAGATGACATTCTGCTGAAACGTCGCTACAACTTTAAAAGCACAACTATAATGACGTGGGAAAATACCCGAACAAAGCTGAATACCATACATATAAATACCTGCGAAAACTTAAGAAAACAAATATATATACATACATATACAGAGAGAGAGAGAGAGAGAGAGAGAGAGAGGGAGGGAGAGAGAGTGATAGTCTAATGACCATTCAATAGCAATTGGTCAAAGCATTGGCATGGTGCTGAACAGAACAGTATTTAAGCTTAGTTCTTCAAGTTACAGCCATTGCAATGCAATGACACCTCCCTCCCGCCCGGTCGATTTTCAGTTCTGAGGCACTTGATAGCCCACTCACATTTATGAGCACAGCATGTGCTTCAGCGCACTTCCCCCCCAACTACCTCCCCCACTATACCTTTTAGCCACCCTGCACTGTGCTGCCCATTGCCCTGCCTCTGCTGCCCCTAACTAACCTTTGCCACCTTCACACTCTTGCTGTTGACAAGACAAGACACCCAGCCTGGCTCTTCCTGGCTCAGCCTGGCAGTTGCTGCTCTGTGAGACCGTGAAGTCATGTGTGGCCTTCTCAAGGTCAAATACAAGGCCTTCTGAAATCTCCCGAGAGAGCCACCTGCAGCCAGTCGCTGGCTTGCGAAAGGCCAGGCCGAGTATTCCTTGTCAACAATGGGAGTTAGAAGATGGTAAAATAGTTCTCAGGGGTGGTGGAATCCAGTGTAGCTTTTGTGCCCCACTGCCATCAGCAGCATCCACATCCAGCCCAGCACATTTGCATACCCTTCCACTCCTGTTTTGCAGATGTTTCTTGTTGTTTCTCATAGTTCCAAATCTCCATTTCTAAGAATTGAAAAACGAAGCCAAAAGAACCCCCCCCTTCTTGTGCATCTTCTTTGTACTTAAGTTCCATTTTCAATTCATCCAGAAGTTGTGCCATTGTATAAATTTTTAAATAACCACCCGATTAATTTTAGTCATTCAAATGCAATAACCAAGAATCCAAAGATCACCAAGAAATCCAAATACACGCAAGCTGTTTCTTTTTGCTCTTTTTTTTCACTTTCTCTTCCTGGGGTTCTACTGTTTAGTTACAAAGTTTCAGTTAAAATGTATCTTTTTACTGTAGATTCTTTTTAATTTCAGGCAGTCTCCTCCCTCTTTCCAGATCCTGCCCTTTTATTCTTTTTCTCTCCCTTCCTGCTAATGAAAAAAATGTTTAGTGTCCAGAAATCTTTATTATCCCTTAGAATTTTGTTTTATTTTCAGCTTAATTGCCTGTTGATGTCAAAGCGGATTTTTCCGATTTCTTATTTAAGTCTCTTAGTTGTCAGTATAGGGAAGGAGAGAGAAGGAAAAAAAAACCCAAACCTTTCCCTTTTCACTTTTCTTCGCTGCTTCTGACTCTTCTTTGGGAGCGATGTTATTTTTTTGTAAGTTTAAATTCCAGGGTACCTTAGTTGTTGCTTTTGCAATTTAACCCGGTCAGCCAAAACTTTCACTTCTTATCTTCCTCCTCACATTCTTTTCCGGTCGAGTTCTTCTTTGAGGTGGCATTTCTGACCACCGCTGCAACCGCCTTTGGGAAAGGGAGTAATGGCCAGCTGAGGAGGAGAGATGTGGCTCTCCTCAATCCTGCTGGCAGTCTCCCCCCTCTTCACCACCTCTATGGGGTGGCTTAGCCCCAAAACCAGCCAGCTCGGGGCGCTCCAGTGGCAAGCCCAGACCGAAACCGCGCACGATCGTGGATTTCTGTCTGTCGCCGAAGGAACTCCCATACTCTTCCACTCCTGTGGTCCAACTGTGCTTGTGCCTTGCCACAGCAGCCAATTACCTGCCCACCACTCAACCTGCAAGCTATGCAGGACTTCCTGCTGGCTCCTTCACTGACTTACTTTGTTGGAAGCCAGCAGAAAATCACAAGGATTTTAACATTTTTAACATTTAACATTTTGCCATCTTCATTTAAAGACAGCAGTAGGACCACCATCTCTAAGGGATACAGTCACATGACATTGTAATTTACAACTGCATTGCTTAGTGATGGAAATTCTGGCCCCAATTACTGCTGTCAGACTGTACTGCCTTGAGCTAATAGCAGGAAAGGTGGAATACAAGGTAAGAAAACTAGGCAATCAGAAAAAGTTCTTTTACTTTTCCCGATATTAATTTAAACTTCTGTGAGTGAGTGGGAAGCAATCAGACATGCTGCCTCCTCCCTCTTTCAGCCTGGTGGCCTAAATAGCCCATCGTTTTTGTCAGCCTTCAGGCCTGACTATAGGTTGCCATTCAAATAATGGCAACGAGAAAACAGTGCAGAGTGAAAGTGCTTGCAATTCATTTTAATGATTATCATTGTAAATTATTTTTTCTAACAACAGCGAAAGATGAAGGCAAAGAAAACCAAGACAAGTGCAGTTCCAGTTTTCAAAACCATGATTTTAATGTATGCAACTAGTGCAAGAAACAGATCAAATTCCACATACACAGGAATCTTAGTGACTGAAATCATATGGGGAATTAAAGCAACTTGTTCTAGAATTGTTGGAATCTAACTGCTGTCCACCAAATCAGACAGTCCGATTTGTTCTCGCTGTACACTGGTTGCCTCAGCAACGAGCAACAATCACAGGTAATCAGTTACCCTTCACTTATAGTCTCTCCAGCTTTAAACCCTAGCAATCTGTTTTCAATTAATTTTTGATTCACGTGTCCTTTTATGAACTGAGCAAGGGATCATATTTACAATGGGTTTTTTTTTCTTTCCATTACATCCCTAAGCAAATACTTCCCCATTTCTGAAAAAGATTGAGTGATGTCATAGGAAAAAATGTTAGGGATTAGTGTATTTGATACTTATACAATCCCATGGTACCTTAAACTCCAATCAAACCTTCATTCTTCAGCCAAAGAAATCAGTACAACAACAACATCAACAGCCGTATTAACGAACTGAGAAATTTACACACAGAATTATACCAGAATTAAACAATGATTTAAAGCTGGAGAGCACTTTAAGTAGTTAAAAGAGGCTGGCTTCATTATCCATGAAGGCAGCTGGTTCTTGGTGCAGAAGGAAGTGGATTATGTAATTTTCCTAGACACCCGGGCAATAAATCAGCAATAGGAAATTACATCATGGACATTTTGGGGGATAGTGATCCATCAGCAGCTGGTGTCCTCCAATTTAAACTTGCTTTGCTGAGAACAATTCAGCAGACCTGAGCACTCCAGGTGCTATGAAAGCACAAGCTAGGATGAACTGAGAGAGGCAGGACATTCCCACACTTCAGGGGAGAGAATATGTTTGCTTCAGCTCCAGTCTATTTTCTTTCACCTCCTCCACATTCCAAAAGGGGGCCATTAACAGATCCGAGACAGGCACCAACACCACTTAGTTCAACTCAGCTCCTAACACCACCACTACCACCAAGAATTCAGCTTGAGTGGCACACACAGGAGGGGGAGGTAATGGGACACACACTGCAAAAGGGTGAGACACATAAGCCTGGTGGACCAGCACACTTTTCTCGCCAAGGTTAGCAGCCAAGCCAGCTCATGATAATGCACGAAATACGCTACTTTCCCTATTCCAATTCATTTAACATAAATTAGACTCTGGCAAATTTAATTCAGCAGAACCGAGCAAAAAAAAACGTCAACACAAATTGATATATAAATTAAAATAAAACAACTTCAAGTGGCTGAAGGCGTACAGCAATTTGGGCCCAAATAGCCCACTGTTCTGTTAACTGACAGCCACTCTGATAATCCCTGAACATTGACTAAGAATTCAAATTCATAGATGCAACAATTATCAAAGTGATTTTCTTCCAGTATGACAATGCTGGAAACATTAAAGGAAACATTATTTGATGGTTTTCCAAGTCCAAAAATGTTGTTCTATGATTCTTGCATTTATATCTGTAGCCAATCCCAAGAGCTTAGTATGACATATTTACTTCCATCAAGAACTATCTTTCCTAAAAACACAACCCGGGGGGGAGGGGGGGCAAAAATAAATAAAAATCAGCCGCATTCTGGAAAGAGGATGCAATATTTCAAATTCAAAAATTAAAATGACAATAAACACAATTACACAGAATAAAGGGCAGGGAATAATTTACTGTAACCCTGACATTTAATACCATTATAATACTCTTCTGTTAACACAGAATTTCCTGTAGATAAGAAAGCAGGTTGGCCAAAGAGGGAAAGCCTGTTTTTCCCACAAGTCCACAACACTGCTTTAGCTAGAGAAAATAAAATTCTCCCATAGCCAGACTCAGAAAGACCATGCCAATGGTAGAGTGATAGTATGATCTCTATTTCCTCTGTAAGCATGGGCAGTAATGTTTTAATTCTTATTTTTTAAAAAAAACAGGTAGGAAATCAACAGTCTGTAAGTAGCCACTGGCTTCCATTAAGTCACTATTAGCAAAGTGGCCAATTTTTCAAAATAATTTTTAGCAACGTTCTTAATAAAATGTAAGTCAAAGTGCATGTATTCATCTCACCCCTAAAATTTGTCAATTGTTCAGATTGACCAACTTTTGACCCTACAACACACAAACTTTGTGGTCCCTAACAGCCAAATTAACTGTTTAAAAATGCATCTCTATGACAGTGGATCGCAAAATGTGGTCAATCTGAAAAAAATAATTAATTCATTTTCATCTGTTTGGAGAATATATTTTTTAAAAAGGATTTTGACCTCTAACACTTGCACAGTTTTATTTATTTACTTGGCATCCTAGCTCTCTTGTACTAGGAAAGTATACAATGGCAAGATTCAATAAATCCTTAAAGTGCTATATTAAACAATGAGACAAACAAACATTTAAAAAAAACACAAGAACTCGTATATATATTGGAAACTAGTAAAAATCATTACAGGAGACAAAATAGAACTCTGGTGGATTGCCCTAATCCAGAAGTAGTGATCACCTTGTGACTGAAAAACTATTTAAAATGGCATCATCAAGGTCACAAGGTTAGTGCTGTGATGACAATAATGGAATGAATTAGGTGATATTTTTTTTAGTAATAGGAGGGATTAAGAGGCAAAACTGGTGCCTTAAATCCACTCTTGCCATAAATCAGTGACAAAGACATTGAATAAGATGCATTTTCTTACATTGATTGAAGGTCCCCTGGTAATATTGTAGTTTCAGTCCCAAATTAGCAAGGTTCAGAAATGTTCAACAACTGCAGGGAAGTTCAACAGAACTAACAGGAATGCATACCCCTATCTAACATCAATCATCCATACTGTATGACTAATCAGGGATGCTTCTGAACCAAAACCAGCTGTAAAACAAGCTTAAATTCAATTCAAATAAACTGTATCATTCAATTAACTAGAGAGGAGGAATCTGTTTTCCCACTTGGATTTTAGCCTCTGTGGGGCTGAGGTACATTCGATATCTATTCTATGACATTGATTGATTGAAACACATTCCTTATGGTGCTTCCTTCATTTCTGATCACTACATTTGATCACAGAAACAAGAAATGTTCCATGCTGAACTTTCAGTAGATCAAGAGCAATGAAATGTAATTAGCAATATTTGGGGGCGCACAGCTTTCCTACTCCCGAGTTAGGAAGTTCAGCAAAACTGAACCTATATATTCATTGAACCATGAATAATATAGCAGCAGATCAGAACCAAATTCAACTACATCTTTTTGTCTACTACAAAAATAACAAATCCAAGAGCTATTCAAATGGAACCAGAATTCATCAACAAGAAATCCAACTATGCCCCAATTGTAACTTTTGAAGTCTTTTCAATCACTGGAATCTTAGGACAGACAGATGGATGCATGGATAGAGGGACAGGGATAGAGAAAAACCTTAAAATATTCAGGGGAATTCTGACATCACTCTGACTGTAAACCAATCCAATTGTTAAGCTTATTTTAATATTACTGTATTATTCATTTTACTTTTATAGTCTACTTTTCTTTAAATTTGAGTGTTTACAGAGAAGAAAGCAGGGCTACAGACCAAGTTCATATTTCCTAACTTAGCTAATAAAGAAGAGAAATGTTAGATATTGGGATGAACAGTAAAGAGCACAAAACTTTTAACATAGGCATCGCTCACAGAACAAAGTAAGCATTTTTTCTCCCTTGGATACTATATATCCCATTATGATTTGCATAAAACAAACTTCAGATTAAAACAAGCTTTCCAACATTTTTTCAAAGGATTGATAAAAATTACCTACCAACACATAAAAATCATAAATGCCTTCAGACTACAAATAAGGGGAAATGACTGAACACAAATTGATTTGTTACCTTAGATAAGTATGATACCCAGTACTGACAATAACCTGAGGATATATGGGCAAACTTTATAAGAAAATAAGCCATAAGCAGCAAGTTTTTTAATGTGGGCTGGCAGAAGCACATGAAAGAACAGCAAATGAAAGATGTCAACCCTTTAGGAGAACTACATTACCTATGATGGCAAAAAATAAAAAGGTATCTGAAAGCGTATGCCTTTTAATAAAATGTGTTAGTGAGAAAAGTATTACCAGACTCTTCCAAAAGATGTTAAATGAACATTTACCAAATTTGAGTACTCTACATATATGTTGAACAATTCCAGCTGGTATGACTAAGAGCAGCCTCTGAAGTAACAGTACTGATGTATTGTTTTATCATGAAAATATGTTTATAACACACTATATAATACATAAATCTCAAATTCCACTTAATCTGATTTAATTTGCTAGAACAGGGGTGTCAAACTCACATCGTCATGGTGGCGTCACGTGATGTATTGGGACCTTTTCCTTCTTCGCTAAGCCGGGAGGGGCGGGGCCAACATATGACACATCCAGTCCACAGGTCGCGAGTTTGACACCCCTGTACTAGAAGATCACATCGAAAAATACTATGATACTCACAGCCACTTGTGCTGAATCCATGAATCGTAGACCAAAGTAATCATTTTCAATAAGGTCCAGATGGTACATTATCTGCTCAAACAGATGTTGTCCTTTGGCTTTTTTCTGAAATTGCAAGAGGAATCGAGTTAGGAAGATATAGCTTAGTTACAGAATAACTCTACTTCTGAGGCCAGAAGCTGCCAATAAGTATTCCAGGTCTCTTGACATTACAGGTACAAACTCTGGCTGTAAAACTATTCCAGAGACCAAACAAAGAATAGCAGTGAACATATTGACCCCGATAATTGAACTGATAATGATTCATTGAGATGTTTATTCCACCTTTCCTGCAGGAGTACAAGATGGCATGTGTAACACGTCTTCTTCCAGTTTTTCCCTGGCATCAATAATCCTGCAAGGTGCATTGGGCTGAGAAAGCACGATCCAGTGTGGGCAAGAAACTGTCATGGCAGGAATTCCAAAAACGTTCTTTATTGCAGAGTAACAGAATCTTGAAAAACCCCTCAGGGTTTCACTCTGCCCCATTTGGGGTTATTCTGATTTTCTTCCCCCATACGTTCCTCTTTCTCAAGACTGACCAATCTTTTCTGAAAAGTTCCCCTTAAGTGTTCACTCATTCCTTCTCAGCTCCTAAATCCAAGCCTATATTTACAGCCAGTGAGTTTTTGTATGGCTTTTTCAACTGTGAGGAAAGTTAAATATTCAAATATAAGAGGTAAAAGCAGGGACAAGAAGACGTGCATATTTGTAAGCTTTCCTATCCCAAAGGAGGAGACAAAAATGTTCGCCTTCCAAAATTATAAATTAGAACAAGTCTAATGGAGAATGACAAAAATAATCCGAAAAATTGAGGACCTCTCTTATGAGAACAGGCTGAACAATGGGGTGAAATTCAGTCTTTGGAAAAGAAGACTGAGGAGACACATATATCAACATTCAGGTATCTAAAAGTATTCCAGAATACCTGAAAAGGAAGATGATCAGGAACAAGTTTCCATTCCATATAAAAGTAGGACCAAAACAACAGATATAAGTTGCACTTATCTAGATTTCCTTTAGGTCAGGGGTCCCCAACCGCCGGTCCGCGGACCGGTACCGGGCCGCGGAACAAGCCTTACCGGGCCGCCGGTTGCTGGGCGCCGCCATCTTTTTTTGGTAAAAAAAGCAATTTTTAGTCAAAAAAGATGGCGGCGCCAGCGCTTCCGGTGAGCTTTTCCGGGTAGAAAGCCATTTCTACCCGAAAAAGCTCACCGGAAGCGCTGGCACCGCCATTTTTTTTGACGAAAAAATCGCTTCCGGTGACATCACCGGAAGTGATTTTTCGTAAAAAAAAAATGGCGGCGCCCAGCTGACGCCGGAACCGGGCCGCGGCGCCCAGCTGACGCCGGAACCGGGCCGCGGCGCCCAGCTGACGCCGGAACCGGGCCGCGGCGTCGAAAAGGTTGGGGATCCCTGCTTTAGGTATATGGATAAACTTTCCGATGATAAGATCTTTCTAACAGAAGGAAATATTTATGGAGATCATGGGTTCTGTGTCTCCAGGATTTAAAAAAAATGATGTAATTGATTTTCCTATATATATTAAAGGTTTGATAAAATATTGCTCCTTCCAACTCCACTATTTCATAATTTTATAAATAACTACCTGTTTTTTTGGCTTCCAATTATAATAGTCATTTTTTTACTAAATAAACCAGAAACTTTTAGTAGTTCTGGAACTCAAACTTCTGATTGTATTATGATAGTAGATCCTATTATTTTATCTCCAATTATCTATGCAGTTCCCAAAAGAACTTTGAATTGGTTACCGAAGCCAAAACTATTAAGAAATTCAGATTTATTGTTAATAGAAATTTTCCAGAAACATTTCAAAAGTCTTTAGGATAATATATCATTTGGTAATCCAAGATAGTTATTCCTAAAGCATTTGTTACTAATCATTTCTATTCCAGGAATCCTGTATCCCTAAAGTATCTGGTATTAAAAAGAATTCAGCTTCTTTTCTTATTATATTAGAAAATCCAGAACAAGCCTTTTTGTCCATATGATGATTTTTTTTACTTATTAAATGCAAAATTCAATTTCAAACGTTGCAAAAAACTAAAAGTAATCCCTTAAAATGTTTCCATTGTTTCAATTTATGAATGGTATGCATTTTGAATAATTTTAAAAAATAAATACCACTTATGTACTTTTTATAAAATCTAACAAGTGACTGGGAAGCATAATTACTATCATTCTCTTAAAGGAAGAAATATACCATATAGTAAATCTTAATGCCATCTCAGCTAATCATAAATATGTGAACTATTATTCAATACAAAACAAGTGGACAATGTCCAAGGGTTTGGGGATAGTAATTCAATCTCATGACATTCCAGATTGTGAATAGGAGAAACGCTGCTAAAAGAAAAATCCATCCATTTTTAGCCTACTGAAAAGAAATGACAACAACTAACTTTTGAAATTTCTTATGTGCCTAGTTCTACACAGAGAAAATCAGAACAAATCTCTTTTATGGAAAATCATGAATGCCCCTAAAGCAGTTACCATAAATTGTCAACCTAAATTCCTGCTTGCTTTTCTCCCATACCCAACATTCATAAAAGGTTAAAGTGCACACAATACTGAAGCTTGAAATAATATCTACTAACAGAATTTTGAGGCAATTCATACTGAGAAAAAGCTGCTTGTTTTTAAAAATAAAAAAGTAAGGAGTAATTCATAAGTCTGCATTTGTTGCAAGACTGAATAAAGCCATTTCATTGTGAAAGCCATTTTTTCAATCAATCTTGCTGATCCCATAAGATATTCTTTTTTTCCCCTTCCTATCAAGCAATACCTCTTCCGTAAATGAAAAAGATATAGGCTTTTGCAGAGATTCATGTGATGTGCCAATTATGATCTTCCCAGAATCTGGAGGGATCTTCAGATTATAATCTTTATGCAGTTACCCCACATAAAGACTACTGCAGTGCATTCTATATATATGGCTGCCCCTGAAGAACACTCAGAAGCTAGAGCTGATCCAAAATGCAACAGCATGAATCATTATGAGTTTACCTCATTTGCCTATGTAACACTATTATATAAGCTGCTTTGACTAAAATTCAAAGTAGATCCTTCATGGTTTAGGTCCTAAATACCTATGGGACCAGTTGTTTCTGCCCATCCTGTAAGATCTAGAAGGCTCAGCTTGCTCCATCAATAGAGCAGTGAAATCTGTAGGTCCTTAAGAGATTAATCTTCTTTGAGACCACTCCTGCCTTCTGGACCGGAATTCCTCCTGAAATCTGCATGGCCCCAAACCCTTTTATGTTTACATAAGGCCCTTAAACTTGGCTTTTTCAGCAAATCTTCAGCACAATGGTTTGTGATCCTACCGACCGATGTATGTTTTAATATGTTGTGCTGTTTTCCCAATGTAATGTTAGTAACATTACTATTATTTGTTATGAATAGTTTTTCTGTTACTTGTTTTAACCCTTAAATATGCACATTTTGTACGTTGTCAGGTTACTGTTGTGATTGAGGCAATACATTGATGAAATATTTTTTTCAATGAAATGCAGCATATTCCATGAGATACTAAAAAGCAAGAATACTTTAATTTCTAAAAAGTTGTATCTTAATAACTAGATGGTAACAGAACTCTTAAAATAGACATTGTCTCAATCTACTGACTTTTGACCTAATTAGTTACACAATTTATATGTTCAACTTCATTTAATTTCTTGGCTCCTGGCTTTTAGTATTTGATCTACAGTAAAGAATAAAGTAAATGTAATTATTTACGAATACAGTGAGTGGAATAACAACCCATCCGTTTATAGATTAATATACAGTATTTAGGTTTCAAAATTTTATCCTTTTCCAATTATGAGTATTGCTCAAAAAGAAGTAAAGGACAAAACTTTATATTCTTTTCATCTTTAACTGAACTATAAATCAGCCAGAAACAGTGAACAGAGCATCTGGCTAAAAAAGGTCAGCTCTAGTTAATTGGGCTAAACAACATAGGAATGCTGGAGTGTTGGCTAGACAGAAAAGTTGAAAAAAAAAGTATCCTAAAATCATACAAATTGTTGCCAAGAGAAGTTCACAGATTCATTCATGAAGACTCTAAGAGTCATATTTAACTCATACAAGTCTTTTTCTTTTACAAAGTATTCCTGGGCTTCTGGGAAAAAAAAACACAGAAAACCAAAGCCTTGTCAAAGCAGCTTTCTTTAACTGCTCTTTAATCTGAAACACACTGGAAGAAAAATATTCTCACACAACCCAAATCTGCTTTGAAGAGTTCCCCAACTCTCTCTAGAAAATTTGGATAGCATGCGAGGGGCTACAGAAAAAGAGAGTCCATTACCTCAGTAGTTTTTGTTCCTAATACTTCTAAAGTCCTTGTTGGAAGATGTATGACCAACATCTTTAAATAACCTTTTAACATATCACCACTCATTAGTAATTTTTGCATCCTTGACCAAATCACACGAACACAATGTATTCCATTCAACTGAGAGATAAAGGAGGACACGTTTTCTCAAACATTTGCCAAGATTCTTGATGAAATAAATTAAAATGTATCATACCGGTAAGTCCACACTGACATCCGTTCCATCCAGCAAAGAGACCCTGCAGGTAATTATAGATTTCTCATCTCCAGCTGCAGGGATGTGAGTTGCAGCTCGTTGAGCTTCTCTTAGCCGCTCTTTCTCAGCATGTTTATGCATAGACTTACGTCCAAGTGTTCGGCGAAAGAAACTTATCATTGTTCCTAAATAAGACCAGAAAAAGAAGGTGTGAATGTTTCAAGAGAAATCAAGACTGCACTGTTTCTCGCTAAAGCAGATACATGTTTACATTTCACAAAGTTTCTAAATGTGCCTGTGCTATGGAAAAATTTTTTGCAAAACAGATATACATACAATAATGTTACATCCCTCTTATCAGTACCAGGAGCTATCAGAAGGACTAATTGTAGAAGTAGAATCGACATATCACAACAATTCAGGAAGTAGCTTGTAGATGCTAATATCCTTCTCAATCTGGAAGTGTTCCAGACAGTTTGCTGATATTAAACATATAAAATAATAAATAATACAGTTTCCTTAAAACATTAGACTAACATAGGCACCAAAGCTACACAGCTAACACCTGAAGGTAAAAACCATGAAAGTGGAGACCATTCTTGCCTAAGAAACAAACTGTTCCAAAGGAGAGAGCTCCCATAGACAATGCCTATTGTTAGGTCTTTGTCTGCCACACCTCCCTACAAGCCTTGCCTAATCGAATGGGATGGGCAAAACCTATCTGGGGAAGGAAGGCTATTAGGTACCCTGTCCTTGAGACATATAGGACTGTAAAGCATCTTGAATTGGAAATACACCAGTAATCAGTGAAGCACTGATAGCAACAATGCAACATGGTAGAGCAATGGCCGAGTAAGCACATATACTGAGACATCCTGGATCAGGTGAAGTTTCTGGCTGGTCTACAGGGGCAGACCCATCTGGAACGACTTCTAGTTATCTAATCAAGAGATGATAAGAGCACACATGACCATCTTCAGAGCGCCCTGTTCCAGGGTAAGGCTGCAACTAAAATACTAGCCATAGCTTTTACCTGTTCTTCAAGCAGGAACTGCAGGTCCGTGGGGACTACCCACTTAAGAGATAGCTCTTCCTGGGAAAGTGCAATCTCCTTGAGAATTAAAAATGGTCAGTTGGCTTTTAAATTAACACCCACTCCATTTTGTTCGGATTGAGTCCGAGTCTCTTTTTTTCCTATAATCAGAATTTCAATTGCATCTCCAAATGAGCCATAGGTGGAAATGTACAACTATCACCCCAAAATGATGAGTGATTTCTCCCAAAACTTTTATGTAGGTATTAAAAAAGATAGGGGAAAAGCATAAAGGCTTGGGACACCCTTTTCTCCCTTAGCCACAACTGGGTCAATAAAACAATATTCAAAAATCCCAACTTCTGTAGATGGACACAACATGGTGCGGACAGCTTTGAAAACCACTGGAATATCTAGGACAGGATTGGTTGTGCTCTCCATTCAAGTCACAGGGTCACCTATGAGAGGGACTCATGTCTCTCCTGTCCCTGTGCCTTCTATCTTCTATGCCTGAAGACCCCCATGAATTCAGATAATCCATACTGCCTCCTCCAACCCCCCAGGTTTCTGTAAGTACAAATCAATCACTTTTTCAGCAACTTCCCAACCCTCTAAATAGTTCATGATCACAGTGTTTATGTTCATATCTAAAGTAGAAACACTATAGTTATTCTTGTAATCTCCATTCCTTGGACAGGCAAGCATGGCATGACATGACAATGTCTCCCAAAAAGACACAGCTGCACTATATAGAATAAAAACAATATTTTATTTGTATGCTGATGGTGCAATTATTGAACTATATTCAATAATTATTTAAAAGTACTCTGGGGTTCATACATTATTAGATCCAGGTACCAGCAGACAAAAGAAGCCTTTCAGCTAACTTTCCTATGATAAGAAGAGATTATCATAAATCCTGGTATTATGCAAAATGATGATTTTGACTACAGATAGAGACTTTTTTGAGCTAGAGTAGGGGAAGCCAGCCTACTCACACAAAATACACACTAAGAGCATTCCTGGAGTTTCTACCCTGCATGACTAATAGATGAATCCAAATGATGGCAGAAGTTTTATCTTCCACCAGTACTAGAGAGAATAAACTGGCATAAATACCTTCTACTTTGTTTGCCTGGACTTGCCTTCACATGTTGTCCTTATAAAAGCCTGACATTCTTCAAAGGTCAAGTTAGCACAACTAGGAGATTTAAATTTTAATCTTCAACTATACTTTTTATAATTAAAACCTTAAACATGTAAATATAATCCAATTGTTTCTGCTCTCATTAACAATGGTTAATTCAAAGCTGGTTTGTTTTTTAACTTTAAAAAATTGAGTATGAAATTTAAATGTGTTGCACTTTTTGGATATATATATATCTAAAGCTGCTTTGGCAGGTTGGTTTAGCTATATAATATTGGTTCCTTTAACTATGATTCTGTGAGATACAGAACAAATCTTTACAAATCTTTTATTCCAATTTTTTTAACATGATATGGAATTGAACCTGGTTGTATACAACCCAGCTACCATTGGTAGTTTCACACAAGATAACGCATATAAGTATCAGGTCTGTTTTCTAAAAGGCTATTTTCTTAATACCAATATAGCACAGCTGCATAAATTATTATTGGGCTGGGAACCTGGAAAGGAGGTGTTGTGAATTTTGTCTCTTTGTTTAATTAATTTCAGATAATAATAAGTCTTTATTGATTAGCCCTTAGGCCATATCAAAGTGCAAAGTTCCAGCAACAATTTTTTAAATAGTATTTTACCAAATTTCATTTTGAATTGCTTTTATTAAATTAATTGCAGTTGGTATGCCTTCTCCAAATAATCATTTACAGGTCTATGAAAGGACTAATTTCATAGTCTGAGAACTAAGTAGGAACAAGTAGAAATATTGGCTATGGTAAAGGGAAAATACTCATAGGAAAAAGGGTGGGTAATTTCACAATGAGAATATATTGCACACACTCTTACACACACATTAAGAAATAAGGCAGAGGGGTGTGTAGCAGGTGTATATGCATATGGAAGCATTCATTTGTTTGGTAAAGAATATAAAAATGCTCATTAAGTACATAGACAGTAGACAAAACCCAAAAAGAGTATTTGTCCATTCTGCCTTAAATTGCCACAGGAATATGGAATTTATAGTGATTTTTCTAACCACATAAACATCTTGTTCTAATATGGTACCTCTATCACAGCAATTCCTATCAATGCAGTAGCTCAAATTCTCTGCTAGCATGCAACAAGAACTGATGTACATGGCACATTGCTGAATATACATGTATAATCTCATAGAGCACTCATGATAGGATTACAAACATATTTAGAAAAATAAAACAGGAGAAACATTATATACAGAATGCACCTACCCCATTCCACCAAGATAAAAGTGGGAATTGCATTAAAATCCAATTTTAGAACAGGTTAACAAAATAATATCTGGGCCAAAGACTTACAATATCCTCATCATAATTTAATAAGCAGATCAAGTTTGTCCATACATATGGAGGATCAAGGCCTCCCAGCAAAATCTGGGAAAACGAAGGTTTAGCTAACCTCCTCTACCGTTAAAAGAAGCGATTAAAAAAATAAATAAAACAAAACATAGATGCCATGGAAATATGGAAACAGGTGGGGAGGGACCAATGATTCAAGTACTTCCCCTTTTCCATATTGGCCGGATTTCGGAAGAAATGGGAAATTTACAAGGACTGCCTGAGGAGAGACTATTTCAGAAACACCATAAAATTGAGCCTGACTCCAGGGCAGCGGGAGACGACTTCTTACTCTCGTGGGTGAAAAGATCAAGGCCGTTCGAGGCAGAAAGCCACGGCCTGAATCCTCTATTTTAAAAATCACTTTTTTTGTGTGGTTATTCCTGCCCCGACGCACTTTGGACTCACTTCGCTCCCACCTCAAGCGCGCTTTTGTCACAGGGAGCGCGACACCTTTTGGGGCCGCCCGACAGGAGCAACCGGATAGATCCGGGGAGCAGGGTGGGGAGAAAAAGGTTTACACGGCCATCTGAACAAGGCGTGACGCGCGTGTCTCTCTGTATGTGTGTGTGTGTGTGGGGGGAGCGGTGGCGAAGGGAGGTGGCCACCCCGGAGGCATCCAAAAAAGGCTGAAGTGGCCCCGCCCCCCCCCCCCCCCCCCGCTCGCCCACCTCCAGCGATCGACAGGATCTACCCAACCTCGCTGGCCACAGAGAAGAGGGAAGAGAGACGAAACTTAAGATCTCTGGCGAGTTTCGAAACCTTCCCCAAGGGCGACAAAGGGAAAAGGACGGAGGAAGCAAAGGAAAGAAGCAACAACCTGGTTGCGGTTCTTCGCTGAAACTTCACCTTGCTTTTACTACAACAACCACCACCACCACACCCCACCTCCTCCCCAACTTACCGGCCCAGCCGCCTTCGCTTCCAAAGGGCGCTCCTCCGCGACCCGGCCGCCGGCGCTAAAAAGCAGCTCTGGCGGGATCGGATCCCGGTGGCGACGAGGGGCGGAGGCAAATGGCCGCCGAGTGAGACTAGGGAGCCGCCTCTCTCCTCCTCCTCCTCCTTTTCCCTCACCCGCTAGGGCCTCCCCTGCGAGAGCTAGTCGCACGTTTCGAGGCGAAACAGGTCGCCAAAAGGAAACGCGCGCGTGTTTTTCTGCGTGCGTGTGTTTTGGCGAGATGTGTGGGAAGGAAGGTGCCCGGGTTTTCGGAGATTCCCACGCCACGTTTCAAACTCGTTTCGGATAAAAAAAAGGTTGCTACCCCTTTAAAAGCAACACTTGCGATTCCTTAAAACCCTATACGAATCGTTTTAGTAGGTTACCGACTGGGTCTTTAAGGCTTTTAAAGTCAACCCTGTTTTTGAACGTTATTCTCAAAACACCGTTTTCAGTTTATGGAAAAGGATAATACGACGGCTTCTATATCCGCGCTACCCAAATCCGGACTATCCTATGCGGACTCTGTAAAACCGCTTAGAGAGGACTGTAAAGCACCGTGAAGCGGTATATAAGTCTTAAGTGCTATTGCTACCATGATAGGAGCCAAGTGTTAAAAAGAGTTTTCTGTACTTGAACTGGCAACTCGCGGTCCTGCAGATATTATATTTTTAAAAAATAAATAAAGCCAAAATATGGCAAACTTTATCATAGGCAATCTTTAAAAACCATCTAATCCTAGAGTAGTTATTAGGAAAGTATAACCAAACAGGCATGCGTTCACCTATTTACCAAACGGATGTTTCAACAAGTGATCCAAATCCTATTTCAGGGGAGGAGCAACATACTGTTACTATCTCTACAGGTATAGGAAGCCATTCATATATTTTGGATTAATTCCACTGGTGGGATTCAAATTTTTTTACTACCGGTTCTGTGGGCAAGGCCTGGTGGGTGTGGCATGGCCTGGTGGGCGTGGCAGGGAAAGGATACTGCAAAATCTCCATTTCTACCCCACTCCAGAGGAAGGCTACTGCAAAATCTCATTCCCTCCCCACCCCACTAACCTGCTTTCCAGCTCCTTCTCTTGTGCAGGGCAACAAAAGAAGACCCAGCCGATGAGATGAACTGGGACTTGGGAGGCAGAAAATTTCTGCTACTGGTTTTCCAAACTACTCAAAATTTCCACTACAGGTTCTCCAGAACTGGTCAGAACCTGCTGAATACCATCTCTGATTAATTCATCCTAAAATCCTCAGGTTCAGCTGGTATTTAAATCTGGAGAGTCACAAACTCTGATCCCACTCCCCATTCTAAACTTTAGTTAGCCATCAAAAATATGCTAAGCAAATTTGGACCAAAATTTTTGCAAATAATGGGTCTTTTCATTTTACATCAGACCAAATGTAACCAGGTGGGAGTCTAGAGTTGCAATTCATCAATGATAGTGAATTGGACTATTATGATGTCCTCCAACTTGATCTACCTTTATGGTGAATACAAATCCTGATAGAAAATACAGTCAGTTGTAGTGGTGTTTTGAACTTTGAAGCCATATCCTTATCTACTTGCAGAAAATAAATGAACTTGTGGTTTATGGTTTTGGTGATTAGGTAGGATAAATTTTAGAAAGAAAAGTAATGTAACTTTAGGGAGAGAGGTTAAAATGTATTTGTACTTTTAGTGCTGTGAATATTGGAAGTTACTTATCCCCCCACCATTTTTCCTCAACCTTTTGTTGCTTTTTCTTTGGTTTTGTTTTCTCTTCCAGCTTTTCTGGTGACAGGATCCATTATCAACAACTTATTCTATGCAATGTTAAAATAACCTACTGCATAGAATAAAACAGCAAGTAATCGACATATTGAATTAATTTGGCATTGTTTTCATTTTGAGATTTTAGGGGTTGCTCTTCTGTATCACTTGTATATTGACAATATCATTAGAAAAGTTAGGGATTGAAACTGGTCTTTCTCACAGCAAAAGAAACAATGTGTGTCTGTTTTGAACAAAAAATATTTCAAATGCAAGGTTAGAGGGCTTCAGGAAACTTGTCTCCGCCTGCTGCTTCACAGATTCAAATAAGTATCTGCTTATGTAACAAATATGTAAATATACATGACACACACGCACATACACACACACACACACACAGATCACTATTGGAAAATGGGAATTAAGAATGGGTGTGACACTAAGATTTATATTATCCAAGTTATTACAGTTAGACAATAGCCCTATCCAAAAGATAAGACAGTAAATATTGTGAATAGTCTTATATAAATGCCAGCAATTATGGACCTTTCCTTCTTCCAAAGTAGGACTTAGGGCTTTTTCCTTTGAGAAAATATGAAACTTTGGGGGTTGTTCAGAATTTGGGATTCCCGAGAAAACAATCTCAATCTTATACTTTATTTTTCTGTTGACAGACAAAACAGTTGCCTGGCCTTTGATATGTCAATGTACTACTACTGTATTTTGGCAGTTAAAGTTATATGTAGTTCTGTATTTAATCAATTTATTAGCTGCTTCAAATTGTTGAAGCTACTCAAAGCAATGCTACATAAGAGATTAAAAACAGAAATGCAGTAATAAGCAGTGGAAGTTAGAAGTGTAGTATGAGTGTTTGTCTTATAATTGGGCTAAATTCACCATTTGTTTCTAAATATGTATTAATTACACTGTTTATATTTTCTGGTTTCTTAGCTGGCTCAAGCATTATCTATTGGTCTAAAATGGGATGCAAACAAATAAATACACCTGAAAACATAAGTTAAACACCTATTACAAGACTCTCTTCATCATTTTCATCTCAAAGTCGAATTGGCTTCTGAATAAGTTGCTGGGAAATATAATCCAAAAAGCAATGGGTGGGTCCAGAATAAAACATCTCATTTGTAATTGTTAATATAAGTAGGATTAAACAGTTTCAGTGCTGGTTGGGGGCAAGTATATGCAAACTTACAGAGTATGAATTCCTATTTGTAAGTAATAAATACCTAGGATTTCCAAAAAAGTATACAAATGCTAGGGAGTAATATAGCATAATTAAAGCAGTTTTTCATAATAAAAAATCCTTATTTTTTTTTTACTAAAGCACATCTTTATTTTGCAATTAAACAATTAAGATTCACAAGTAAACTATATATTTTTCAAGTTTGTACCTAGACAACTATTTGTCAATCGAAATTAAATATATCCACAAAATATGTATAACAGCATATGTTTCACATAATTGAAGGAATTTGCTCTTAAGACTAAAACAAGGTTTGTTAAATGTTAAATATTTATTTTCTTCTGGGAGCTGCTGGTATTGTATATCATTAGTGTACCTTATTAATGATGAAGACTTTCCTTATACCCCAATGCAGGCAAAATATATAAGGCCTTTTTAACACATACAGTAGCTGCAGTGATGAATGAATTCTTTCCACATTGTCCAGTGTTAAACAAATCCAAGTGCATGTTAAACAGAGCACATTTCCTGCTATTTAATATACAGGCTCTTAGTTGAATAATCTTGGTTTCTAAAAAATGAAAACACGCAAGTTCAAAGACAATCTCTGAGGACAAACTTGCACAATGAACAAAAGATGGACAGTTATCTTGGCTTTATATATAAATGAGATGGTCAAAACCCATTCACTGAGCAGTGTAAATCCAGGTAGACTGGACAACGCAAAATCACAAAAAACATGCAAATTCATTCCAACAAAAAATAAATATGGCCACCCATAGAACAGTGGATATGATCCAGACACTAGATTTTATATTCTTTATTATTTACATACAGAATAGCACCTGTGCCAGAAAAAAAGGAAATAAAGAAATCCTACATTTAAATACAAAATTGTTTTAGAATTTGCTAGGAGAATCGCATCATTAGTTAGTATCCATATTAACATTACACTTTAAACCAGCCTCTAATGTGTGGAAATAATCATACTGGTTAGTTTATTAAACAATAGAATACAATATAACTTAGTGCTAATTGTTTTAGAACCTCCAATTCTATCATAGAATTTACCTACATAAATTGCAACTTTCCCCTCTTAAAATTATTTTTGTGCACTACCTACTCTTTATAAAGTTATGCAAACAACTCTTGCTGATTTATAGATTTTAAAACATGTAAAAATGCTAAACAGGAATCGAAGCATTCTGTGGGCATGTAAATCCTTCCCACATTTATATTAAAGTTTCAATAATTTTTGTTTCCATAATTAAGCTGCATTTCAGGTTTTCCTCCAAGGTCTCCCCAAGTCTGAAAATGTCTAAACTAGACATCGAATTGTACACTACTGGATCCAAGGCCATTGTAAATTTTTTCTTTATGGCAAATATCAGATACTGAGAAAATTAAATATAAAAAGAACTGATAACTATTTGTGGGAATATTTTAATCTCACTGCTGATTATTACAATTTTGAAACTAAATTTGAAAAAAGGTGTTGCGATTCAGAACTGCATTGTTTTATCATGAAATACACTGTCTTAGCACTATAATGGATACAAAAGCATTAACATTAAGCATTCATCTGGAAGATGGCAGGATTAAGAATTTGGAATTAATCAATTTTAACATGGATGGAAGGAAACTGGAAAGGTAAGCTTTAAAGCATTCACATTAGGAATCACCCCAATAAACTCTCATTAAGTTAAACATCTCTCTAATCATATAATTTGTTTTATCTAAAAAGTTTTTCAGTAGTAAAGCATTACATAAAGTGCTACTATTTTGAACTTTTAAGAAATTTAGATAAAAATGAAATATACTTAAAATGATGTTAAGTAAATAATAAGTAAGCAAATATTGTCAAACTCTTATTTTCCAAAGTATCCACTTTTGTTTCCCAGGGGAATAATTTCCAAATAATTAGTATAGTGGTCTTCAAAGTTTTGTGTAGGAATTATCATGCAATAGTAACATTTTACTTAAGGCAATATTTTACCATATATCCAGTGAAATTATTTGCTTAAATATTCTAATGACCCAGATTGCAGCTGATATGAAGGAATATTTAAAATTAGGGAATGAAACTTTTAAAGCTCCAGATAGGCAATTATCCAAACCAAGATGATTTTTTTCCCCTATTGGTTAGCATGCCACTCAGAAAGATTGAGAAACAAATATTTTAGCTTTGGTTTGCATTTCTAGCTTAGCCATTATAACTAAATTAAATTAAAACAAATATATTAGTTTGTCCCTTCTAGCAATTCCTGTATGTTTTAAATGTCTCTCCATTTTTAAAATAAGCTATTTAAATGTTACAGTGAACTAGATCAGGGGTCTCCAACCTTGGCAACTTTAAGACTTGTGGACTTCAA